TTATTGATATAGTAGCTTTTTTTTTCCCCTTCATTTTTTGGGGGGGAATTTCTGACACATTTCAAAATAAAAGTACAGTGGTACTTAAAAGCAAATAAATATTTTCATTTAATAAGAGCTTACCAGTTGGTTGACACTTAAGTATGAAAAAAAATGTTCTGTTAGGTTATATGATACCTTTAGTAGAAATCTAAAGGTATCATATAACCTAGAATAAAGGGTTATAAATTAAAAATAATTTGTAAAATAAATAGAACTTTATTGATCTCACAATGGAGGAATTAGCTCTCTGCATTTAACCCAACCCGGTTCTGCTCAGAGAGCCAGAGTGGCAGTCTGTGAGAGAGGGTTTTAAACTCACAACCTCAGGATTCTATGCCCTAAACACAAGGCAGCCACTCCCCATCAATAAACCTCCAATATATAGCATTTGATGACTTTTAATAACCTTAAACAACTTTGACACGATACCAGTATTGTAGTTTTAAGTATTGTCATGAAGTTTAATAAGAAAGCACCTAAGTAGGCTTCCTGAAAGCACATTGGGTTCTGCTGGAGGAATGGGCCAAAGATCCAGCAAACTGATGCCAGAAACATCGGACACAAGGCAAACAGTTTAAAGGAAAATTCTGGTCGGCAAGGAATAATAATCCATCCATTTTCTGACACGCTTAATGCAAGGGATCAATGGATAATTTTTTATACCTATAACTAATACGTTTGTGGTGATTTAATGAATTTTGTGTTAATGAGTAAAAAAGATAAAAACGCATTTTTTTGTAGCGATCGGCGAGTCTGGGAGCGGCCATTTTTGCCCAAATATAGTAACGCCTCACTCCTGCCATCTTCCAGCAGTGACGTCACGGTGCGGTAAGCCTAACGCCATTCTCCCCGCTTTACAAGCAAAATCAATGGGAACTACTAGACACATCTGCAATCAACAACAATCATTGAAGATTTCCAGAGGACTTCACCATTGAAATTCACCAGAGCTATAGTGAAACTGACAATGCCCACGTGCATGGCAGTTGGATGCTGGAATACATCGGGTAAAAGTGAAAAAACATTTGTTATTTCACATTTCCGATTCCTGATCCTCCACAGACGGGTTCGTTGTTGGATTGCCAACTTGAAGAGGGAGGATTTGAACTTCTGCCCAGAGAAAAAACCCGTAATATGTAGTCAACATTTGGAAGAAGAATGTTTTCAAGATGACTTGGATAATAGCGTGTTGTGACAAACACCAGATACAGCACTGGGACTTGATCAACAGCCGATAACGCACTGTGACGTCACAAACCAGTAGGTGGCAGTAGTGTTCTTTGACAAACATGGATGCCTTCAATAAAGCACATTCACATGAAAATTACTCTTAATTTAAAACACTTATCATTGAACAGTATGTAATAATTTCATATTTAAAGTACTTTCAGAAGTTGTAATTCTGAATATTACCAGACTTTTCCTTAAAAAAAACGGTTCTAGGAAATCTCAGAAATGAAAATTTCATTTTGAAGATATTAAGAATAAAAAATAAAGCTTTTCAATCAGACATTTAACAAATGTCTTCTTAATTTGGCCTTAAAGCATTAGTTTGAAACAAGTAAACATGGTTTTTACTGTAGGAAACCATCTTTCGTTTGAACCCTGCATGGAAACAAATGTGAGGGAAGATGAACTTCAGTGGGCTGAATGAGTCGCCACTTCTTCTGACTCCCTGTGCACAAACGCAGAGCTGGACCTCCAATAATCTGAAATAAACTTTAATTTTCTGGATTAAACACCTGTTAGATGGCTTCCGAGAAATTCCAGAACGACATTCCTAATGGTCGGCTGTCTAGCACCAAGGTGACAAAAATTTTTTTATACTTTGCAACGGCACATTGCTTAACACTTGTGTCATACGCTGCATTTTTTAAATAAAACCTGGGGCGAAGATGAAGGGCGATATTCTACCAGATTACAAATGTCTATTTGATGTTAAGACAACTTGCATGGATGAAGGAATAATGTGATTTAGGACACAAAACCGCCTCAGGAAAAAAAAAAAAAAGGGCGTCCCTCAGCTTGTTGCTGAACAGCGAGGTGTTAAGTTTCCACGGCGACATCTATCTCTCGTCACCACCTTGAGGGCATCTTTTAACCAGAGGAATTTAGCCATTACGTGGCATTAACCTCATTAGAAAACACTCTTTAGCTGCTCCAAGATAAAATTGATTTACTGCTGCCATTTCCACCACTGCTCTCGATCAATGGTTAAACTATCCCTTTTATGGCCCTGTGCACACTCTCTCTGCTCTTTTCTACACTTTTCTTTAACTGCACTTTAATCTCATTTCTCCCTCCACTCCTTGTCCTTGTGGCAGGTGTGTAAGTCGCAGCGCGGTGAAGAGCTGCTCTCATCCCGCAGTGGATGAGAACGAGACGAAATCCTCACGCCGCCGAGCCGACTGTCTAGGAATTCCTGGAATGATTGAATTCAGACTCAAACGCTCTGATTTTTGCTCAGAAACGATTACACCATTTCTTTCCTCACATGGTTGAACACAATTTATGTTTTTCATCAAGAATTCTTTCTTTAATGTGGATTTTTTAACTAAGGTAGAACTATTAACTGTGGAAAAAATCAATATCAAAATTAAAAAAAAGTTTTATTATTCCTTTGAGGTGGTTTTTTAACTTTTTTTGTAAAGGAGTAAATGTGCTAAAGAGATGGAACGACATTTGATGAATACGTTTTAGAATACAGGTGCAAGTTATTGATTAATGAATAAGTCTAAAGGTTATTGATCCAGTTCATCAACTAGCAATTCATTGATAAACAGCAATTTTCACAAATATATATTTTATCAGAAGAATCCTTCCACAAAATAAAGGGATTTTTTAAATTTTTTTTTTACTATACGCTCAATTAAGAAAATAGTACATTATTACCGTATTTTCCGGACTATAAAGCACACTATAAGCCACGCCCACTAAACTTTTTGAAAAAACTTGAAACGTACATTTATGAGCCGTGCCTGGCTATAAGCTGCCGATTCTACTGAGCTGTGTAACCTGTAGGGGGAGCTGTACATATCACCTCTGGAGAAGGGACAAAGAAGAAGAATGTTAGCTCGTGCTAGCTTGTTGGCTCGCAGCGGTAATAGCTTCTACTGAAAGATGGGACTTCATCGGATCTTTATTTCAGCTCTAAAGGAGTTGAGCTCTGTCTCTGTATTGGTTCTGCTGCTTTAATTTGGCAAATAAATGTCAAAATGTGTGAATTCACGACATTTGTTCTCTGTCGTGCCTGCTGTTAGCATGTTCTTTAATTAGCCGCTTATTCTTTGATTTCCAACTTTCACTTCCCCCTCTGGCGATTAGGAAAAATCCATAGAAAACCACACCTTCTTATAAGCCGCGGCTTATAGTACGGAGAATACGGTATATTTTAAAAATTTAGCTGTACTAAATACTGTTTCCAAAAAAGTAAAAAAAAACAATCCACTGGACTTTGTTTCTAAGTTTGAAGACGTTTCGCTTCCCATCCAGGAAGCTTTTTCAATTCAAAATGTCAGAAATAGCGTTGAGTTCAAGGTTTTATACAGTAGCTCAACAAAGCCTAGTTTTTGTATAAATAATGGCCTGGAATCAAGATGCCCCTGAGCGAAATGCAGGCCCAGTCCTATATTGGAGGATTTACGGTATTTCTTCCTTCCCTGTGTGAAACGGAGGCGTTTTCCACGTCTGCGGCAGAAAGTATGCCTCGTTCTGACAGCTCAGGTTTATGTGGACATTGAAGCAAATCAAGCAATACTATACTTCTCTGATGAATCAATATCACCACCATTTCAGCGTTCCTTCCTTCCCTCCCTCTTTGGTGTGCGTGCTCCTATCTCATCTCTCCCTGTCTGGGGGAATTGATCTGCACAGATGGAGCGATATCAGCCCCCCCCCCCACATGCCCTTCTTTCACCACACTTTTGACACATAAATAAAATATGTGACCTTTTTTGTTTCAGTGTTAGTTCTGAGAAAGGGAGCGGGGCGCGCGGGACTCTCGCACAAAGTCGCTGGTAGACAGGAGGGATAGAGGAGTCGGCTGGTTGCCATCACTCACAGTTCACAGACACTGTACAAAATCCACTCAACTTTTCAACATATGCCGTCTTCTCATGGCGACGCAGACAGACTCTGAGGAATGGCGTAAAAAAAAAAATGTAGGAGAGCTCTAAATTATTCATGCATTTCTTTTTTCGTCATTATGTCTAAATTTACAGCAGCCCAGTCACATGGATCTATGGTTACATTTATACTGAAACTCTTAAAAAAAAAAAAAAAGACAGGAGGACGTGAAAAATCAACCGAATAAAACCAAAATAACAGATCAGGCCTCGCCATTAACAGGCCAACGCAACATGTTCCTCCACACAGTGGCTAGATATTCCCAGTGAAATGTCAAAGGCAATTCCACAGCTCGGCAACAAATAGCTGCCCGCTGAACTAACCTGGCATCCTTTGGGATGGAGCCGCTCGGGCCTGCAGGGAGGGATCCGCTCACATAGGTAACAGCGTCAGGGTTTTAAAAGGTTTCTTTAAAGGAATCTTTACGTTCTTGTGTTGCAAAGGCACTGCTTGTGTTTGCTTAAAGACAAGCCAGGTACTACATATGAGGACTAATGAGATTAAACAGGAATAATCTGATGATACGCTCATGAAGTCTACCTGTATGTCCACCCAAAGCTGGCTCATGTGTGATACAATCAGCCTTAATGTGACCCCAGACAAACCGCAGCGTAAAGGACCTGAGACTTCTCTCCCTCACCCCGTCACCTTGCTTTCTGTCCATCTCCTGTTTCCCTGACTTTAAACGTTCTCCGTCTTTGCAGAACAATAGCAGCATGTATCCAGTTTAGCCCCGTTCCCTCACACACACACACACACACAGGAACAACTTTCTCTCCTCCACTTTCTCCCTCTCTCCTTCCTCAAAGCCCTTAGTCACCTCAGACAGTCACCTCAGACGGTGGGAGGGGGGTTATTCCTCAGACTGTGCGACAGCGTGCTTAGCCCAGTTAAGCCAGCTCCAGCTCCGCTCCTGCTCGCCGCTGCACAGAGAGCCCTGCGAGAGAGAGAGGAAGAGAGGATGAGGGGAGTGCTGCTGAGTTCATTATCATTGTCGCCGTCCGCTTTCCCACAACACACTCCTCTCTACAGTATGTAGCATCCCCCCCCCACTCATCTGGAAGGGCTTTCCCTTCCCTGGAAAGAGGAGGGGACGGTGAATCCAGCCATGCTCTCTTTTAGGTTTTTAATATTTTATAGTTTCTGTTCCAGTTTTCTAATTTAGAGCACGCTTTGACCTGTTGCTACAACGCTGTGCATTTCAGCATACAATCTAAAGCACTGGAAAACGATCTAGAAATAAGTAGAAAATGTCTTGAAGTGTATTTACCCTTAATTTTAGAAGGTAAATGAGATAGCTTGCAAATAGAATGAGTATTTTTACTACTCTTAAAATAAGATAATTAGATAACATGCACTTGTAATTGGACAATGCAATTGCATTTTCTAATTTTAAATGTAAACTGTCTCGTTCCATTGGCAAAATGTCACTTTTACCTCCTTTATCCAAGAACAAATATACTTATTTTAAGAAAACATGACTTATCTAGATTTTGATTTTTTTTCAGTGAGCAGTTAGAAACCTTTTTCTTTATATTTTCCATATATTTGACTGAATTTTTGGTGCGATCACTGGAAAAATCTAAATCTAGATAAGTCATTTTTTCCTAAAATAAGTGCATTTGTTCTTAGATTGAGAAGGTAAAACAGAAATATTGGCAATAGAACAAGACAATTTAGATTTAAAATAAGAAAACACTATTGAATTGTCTTATTCCAAGTGCATTTTATCTAATTATCTTATTTTAAGAGTAAAAATACTCATTCCATTGGCACACTATCTCATTTACCTACTGAAATTAAGGGTAAATACACTTAATTTAAGATATTTTTTAACTTATTTCTAGATCATTTTTCAGGTGTTTTTAATTTGTTTAAAACCTACACTGGAAAAACGATCTAGAAGTAAGAGAAAAAGTGTATTTACCCTTAATTTGAATAGGTAGCTGAGATAATTTGCCAATAGAATTAGTATTTTTACTCTTAAAATAAGATAATTAGATAACATGCACTTGAAATAAGACAATGCAATTGTGTTTTCTTATTTTAGGTGTAAATTGTCTTGTTCCATTGGCAAAATGTCTCTTTTACCTCCTTATTGCAATAACAAACGCGCTTATTTTCAGAAAAAATGACTTCCCTAGATTTCGATTCTTTCCAGTGTAAAGGTCTTTTACATCTAATTTCTGGATTCTTTTTTAGTAATAAATAATGTATGACAAAATGGAAAACCAGAAAACAGATCCAGCTGGAAGTGGCGGTAGCAAATTCAATTAAAAAATCAATCAGTTGCTGTTAAGTGCGCCCAATAAGCTCTTGTGATGAAAGAACGTCTCTTTATATTTTTTTTCCTGCCTTCACTTTATCGTTTTAAACGCTTTTTTTGTGCTGAAGGTTTTTAGCTCAGCTTTTGAGGAATTGTTTGTGTACTGGATCGAGGAAAACGAGGGTAAACCGCCACCTATCCATCCATTTTCTTTCATTGCTTTTCCTTTTGTAGGGTCAGAAGGGATCGGATGCCTTTTGGGAAGGAAAACACTGGACTGGTCACCATTTCACAGGATAAACAGAAATGAACAAAATAATATGAAGAGAAAAACCTGGAGAAAATCCACACATGCATAAGGAGAACATGTAAACAGGAACCAGCCGAAACATTCCTGCATTTATTTAACTTTCCTAAATACTGCTGCCTGGATAGAAATAAAATAGAATCTTTAAAATAAATTCTACAGGGTCTGAGAGGCTCGGACAGAGAAATAATATTTGAAGGCAGGATGGTGAGCTGGATTCTGGAGAAGGTGGACTTTCTCACTTCAAAATAGATTCAAACTACTTTTTACCCACTGATCACAGCATGTATAGCTGCCATAGTTACAGGAAAAGAAAGGATAGGGTAGCTCCGCCCAACGCGCATCACACCCTCTGTTTTACCCCACAGCCAGAGCAGAAAAGATGCCTCAGCCGTGCATCACAACTAAAGTTGTAGAAGTATCAAAAGTGAAGCAGCACGTGCATTTTTGCTCGCTCTGCTGCAGAAACTTTTTGCTTTCTTAAGTCGGCACCGCGCTCTAAAGCCTGACTCTGGTTCATCCTTGTTTTGTCTTTTTTTTGGCTTGAATCTGAGAAATGTGACATAGAGAACAAGTCATTTCCCAGATCTATCATAGAGCTACAAGGATCTGGCAACCCCTGAGCTCCGTCTGTGATTTCAACCTACTATACCCAATCCTGTCATTGATGTTGATGTCGTGTCGTTAATGTTGGCATGGTAACAGAAGTAAATATTTATGTATTTTGGACCTGTCGATTCTATAAAACATATATATTTATATATATATTAGGGCTGTCAAAATTAACGCGTAAACGCGAGATGATTAATTTCTGGAATTAACGCGATATTTTTTTTTAACGCATTAACGTAGTCCCGCCCTGTTTTACCCACAATTCAATCAGCATATTCTCATTATCAGTTCGTATGAAATCGTACGAAAAGTTATGCACACTATTTCGTAAGTTTTGGACGTTTTTCCTCAAAAAACCTGATCAGTGCGCATGCGCGGGAAAAAGACAAAAAAAGCAGATCCGCGGACGGACGTAAAACTGGGAAAAACAGTGCAATAATTACTTCTTCATGTCTCTAACTACGTTGCTTGCTGTTTTATATCTTAGGGTTAGGGCTAATTGTTTTTTAAATTCTATGTTCTTGAATGGTGCTTAAGATGCGCATGCACATACGAGGAAAAAAACTTCCATAACGTACGAAATTACGGTGCATAACTTTTCGTACGATTTCATACGAACTCATAATGAGAATACACTGATTCAATTATCCGACATGAGCGAGATGGAGGAATCAGAAGAACCCGCTGGATGGACAGTTCGAGTATAAAAAAAACAAAGACGGGACAATAAATAAACATTTTGTGGTTTGCTCACACTGCAAGCAGGACTTTTCGTTTCACCAAAGCACCTCGAGCCTTAAATATCATCGTAATGCCAAGCATTCATTTGTTGGGGCTTCAACTTCAGGTGTTACGACTGGCATGCGTCAGACCACCCTCACCGAACGCAGGGTATGAAGTAACGGTCCGCTTTACATTCAGGACATGTAAACCAGGTAGTTTGCCTTAACAACTGGCTAAAAGATGAATAAATAAAAGGTAAAATTACCTCATTTAATTGTTTAAACGAAAAACGTTCCATCAGCCATCCTGCATTTGCTAAAAAAAAAAAGTAATGGCTAAGTTGCCAAAATTGTTGAGAATTAAATTCTTTTTTGGATTTGTCATTAATAAAAACTAAATGTAATACCCATCTTGCTTATCTTTCTGTTTTGAAAACAGTACACAAAAAATGTGTATTTTTCAATAATATGTAGGCTAGTGATTAATCGAAATTAATTCAAGAAACCTTGTGATTAATTAGATTAAAATTTTTAATCCTTTGACAGCATATATATGTATATATACATATATATATATATATATATATATATATATATATATATATATATGTATATGTATATATATATATATATATATATATATATATATATATATATATATATATATATATATATATATATATATATATATATATACGTGTATATATATATATATATATATATATATATATATATATATATATATATATATATATATATATATATATATATTTATATGTATATGTATATATATATATACACTATATTGCCAAAAGTATTTGCTCACCCATCCAAATTATTGGAATCAGGTGTTCCAATCACTTCCATGGCCACAGGTGTATAAATTCAAGCACCTAGGCATGCAGACTGTTTTTACAAACATTTGTGAAAGAATGGGTCGCTCTCAGGAGCTCAGTGAATTCCAGCGTGGAACTGTGATAGGATGCCACCTGTGCAACAAATCCAGTCGTGAAATTTCCTCGCTCCTAAATATTCCACAGTCAACTGTCAGCTGTATTATAAGAAAATGGAAGTGTTTGGGAACGACAGCAACTCAGCCACGAAGTGGTAGGCCACGTAAACTGACGGAGCGGGGTCAGCGGATGCTGACGCGCATAGTGCGAAGAGGTCGCCAACTTTCTGCAGAGTCAATCACTACAGACCTCCAAACTTCATGTAGCTCAAGAACAGTGCGCAGAGAGCTTCATGGAATGGGTTTCCATGGGCGAGCAGCTGCATCCAAGCCATACATCACCAAGTGCAATGCAAAGCGTCGGATGCGGTGGTGTAAAGCACGCCGCCACTGGACTCTAGAGCAGTGGAGACGCGTTCTCTGGAGTGACGAATCGCGCTTCTCCATCTGGCAATCTGATGGACGGGTCTGGGTTTGGCGGTTGCCAGGAGAACGGTACTTGTCTGACTGCATTGTGCCAAGTGTAAAGTTTGGTGGAGGGGGGATTATGGTGTGGGGTTGTTTTTCAGGAGCTGGGCTTGGCCCCTTAGTTCCAGTGAAAGGAACTCTGAATGCTTCAGCATACCAAGACATTTTGGACAATTCCATGCTCCCAACTTTGTGGGAACAGTTTGGAGCTGGCCCCTTCCTCTTCCAACATGACTGTGTACCAGTGCACAAAGCAAGGTCCATAAAGACATGGATGACAGAGTCTGGTGTGGATGAACTTGACTGGCCTGCACAGAGTCCTGACCTCAACCCGATAGAACACCTTTGGGATGAATTAGAGCGGAGACTGAGAGCCAGGCCTTCTCGTCCAACATCAGTGTGCGACCTCACAAATGCGCTTCTGGAAGAATGGTCAAAAATTCCCATAAACACACTCCTAAACCTTGTGGACAGCCTTCCCAGAAGAGTTGAAGCTGTTCTAGCTGCAAAGGGTGGACCGACGTCATATTGAACCCTATGGATTAGGAACGGGATGTCACTTAAGCTCATATGTGAGTCAAGGCAGGTGAGCAAATACTTTTGGCAATAT